GAATAAAAATGAAGCAGGATGAACACAGTGGCCTTTAAAAGCTATCCGATTTTTACGTCTGTCCGAGAGAACCGGGAAGACATGAGGCTGAAGTTGGCTTCGGCTTCCGGAAGCCTTTTTTTGGGGGGGTGGGGAGGGGTTGTCTTCGGCTCCGAAACTTTCGATAAGCTTCAGCTGCTTCCAAACTAGAGGCACAGCATCGGATTCGAAGCCACACTGACCATATTTTGGCGTGACAGCTGATCTGATCTCTGACTTTTCTGTTCCCACAATGACCTGACCTAAGAGAACCCAGGGACGTGCAGCAGCCTGAATGACGTCACAGCTGATCCCACCTATTGGTCCGTTCTCAGAATGACCTGACCTGACCCACGGACAAGTACCACCTCTGTCTCCCTGCTCTCTCAGCCCCAGGTGCTGTTGGCTGACCGACACCATCTTTATAAATCTTAAGATCATTCTTACAATGAATTAAGATAAATGAATAAAATCAATGATGATTAATGAATTAAATAAAACAGGGACGAAAAAAAAAATAAAGATAAATTATTAGTATGAGGAATTTTCTTAGTTTGAAGAGTGGAAACTTACCAGAATAATAAGAATATAAGAATAGAGGAAACTGCAGCAGGCCTATTACCATACTGGGCAGTCCTATTTACAATCATCCCCTATTGCTCATAAATCCATCCAACCTATGTTTGAAGCTATCCAGTGTATTCGAGTTAATGATAATATTTGGTAACTTGCTCCACTCGACCACTACTCTATTTCCAAACCAGTGTTTACCTATTTCGCGCCTAAATCTAAATTTGTCTAATTTATAACCATTATTCGCTCCTGGTTGGATAGTTTAAGTACTTTGTAGTGTCACTTTTGTTTAGCCCTAACTTCGATTTATACTCCTCGATCATATTGTCCCTCACTCTACGTCTCTCGAGGGAGTGCAAATTAAGATGCTTTAACCTGTCCCTGTATTTAAGGTTCCTAATGCCCGGGATTAGTCTTGTCATTCTCCTCTGAATTCTTTCTAGGGATTCTATATCCATTCTGTAGTACGGTGACCAGAATTGAACAGCGCAATCCAGGTGAGGTCTCACAAGAGCAAGATACAGTTTAAGGATGACCTCACTTGGATTATGAAGTTCAATTCTGGTCACCGTTTTACAGAATGGATATAGAATCCTTGGAAATCCCGATTCGAAAACAGCTGAAAAGAATGTTAATTGTTTAGTTTGACATGAACGCCCGCTTGTGAAGCCAAGTTGGGAATCATTTATCAACTAATAAAAATAATAATAATAATAATAAACGGTTTATTAATAGTTGCAGCCGGTGGTTGAAAATATACAAACTTACATGTGATTTACAGTAGATATAATGATATGCGTTCAATACATTTACAGGGCTGTACAATACATAAATCAAGAGTTGTTTATTATTTTAACAATAGATGGGATGGTGCTGTTCTTATATCTATTAGTGCGGGCTCTTATGGGCTGAATTTTGTTGTAGTGGCGGATTGCGTGAGGTGGGCGGGGGACTGCCGGTGGCAGGAGGTGGCGATAACGAGCATGGTGCAGTAGTCCACTGCCAAACCTTGCTAGTGCTTGGTGGTGGTGGTCAGTGAGGGATGGCATTTCCAGGGTGGAGAGAGCGTTGTTGTAGCAGGAGTAGTCTGCACCGAGCATGATTCTGCAGGCCTTTTTCTGTACCTTCTTTAGCTGGCGTTGTTGGGTAGAGTTGAGAGAAGACAACCAGGCTGGTGACGCATACGTTAGTTTGGGGAGAATAAAGGCGTTGTAGATAGTCCTCAGCTCTAGCCTGGGTGCCCCAAGTGACCCGAGTCGTCGTAGTGGAGTCAGTATGAGGCTGCCTTGATTGTGTTATTTACATGGGCTTTCCAGTCAAGTTTGTTGTCTATGGTTACACCCAGGAGTTTGGCACACTGCACTAACTGGAGAGGATGGGCACCCACTGTGACTGCTGGAGCTTGCACTGGAGTGGTGGCGGTATTGATGTGCATGACTACGGTTTTGGTGTGGTTGATGGTGACCTTGTTCTCCGTAGTCCATGCCTGTAGCCTGTCCAAGGTGCCTTGTAGCGATGAGTACTCCGGTGAGGTGTTGTCCACTGTAACCCTCACAGTGCAGTCATCCACGTACTTCCACCTGTGAGGAGTATCCGATAGAGCGTCGTTGGGCTTCTCCAGGTGATTTCGAATAAAGTTTGGAATTATTGCTTCCAGTAATTTGCCTACAATTGATGTTAAACTGATCGGACGGTAGTTACAGGATAGTGATCTATCTCCCTTCTTGAAAATCGGTATTACATTCGCTATCCTCCAGGATTCTGGTACTACATCCGTTTTTAAGGACATGTTAAACAAATTTGCTAAGGGCATACTAAACTCTTCCTTACATTCCTTTAATACTCCGGCAAATATCTCATCGAGACCTGGTAACTTATTAAGCTTTAACTTGTCTATTTGCTCACTAACATCGTTACTAGTCACTACTATCTCGCTTAATCTATTTCTTCACTATCTCTGAATATGGTCGGTGCCTTGGGTATCATGATTAAATTTTCGGTGGTGAAAACTCTTGAAAAATATTTATTCAGATTATTGCTCATTACTCTGTCGTTATCAGTTAGCTCGTCGGTATCTAACTGTATTGGTCCAATCTTTTCTCGTGTTTTAGTTTGATACATTTGAAAGAATCCCTTGGGGTTTGACTTCGCCTCTCTTGATACCTTCAGCTCATTATTCCTCGTTGTCTCATCTCGGTCTTAGCCCTACTGGCTAATACCTTATAATAATCTCAGAGGTAAACTTCCTCACGATTTATTCTCCTACCTATAGCCTTCCTTTGTCCAATAATATTCTTTAAATAATTATTTATCTATTTGGGGTCATTGTTGTTTGATCTGAGTTTCCTGTGTGGTATGTTCTGCCATTGTGCCCATACTGGGCAGTCCCATTTACACTCAACCCCTATTGCACATATATCCATCCAACCTATGTTTGAAGCTATCAAGCGTATTCGAGTTAAAGACGATGTTTGGTAACTTGTTCCACTCATCCACTACTCTATTTCCAAACCAATGTTTACCTTTATATCTCGCCTAAATCTAAATTAGTCGAATTTCAATCCATTATGTTACCTCACGTGAGGTCATGTAATTCACCCTTAAACGTGAAAGCCCTTCGCCCAGCTGCCTTTTCAACCTATCAAAGTTTGCCCTACTGAAATCTGGGACTTTAATGGAATTTTCCTTGCGACTGCCAGTAAATTCTAATTTGAATCACACTTCTTTGTGATCGCTGTTCGCAAGTTCGTTCCCTACCTCGACATTCCTAATGAGGTTTTCTCTGTTTGACAGAACTAAATCGAGTATATTATTACCTCGGGTGGGTTCGGCTATATGTTGACTTCTGAAACAGTCCTGAACTGTTTCAAGAAAATCCTTTGTTTCCGAGTTACCCGTTAGGTCGATCCAATCTATTTGGCTAAAGTTAAAGTCGCCTACTATACAGACATTGCAATGACTGGATGCCTTGCGCATTTCATCCCAAATAAGTCGCTCATTAACTCTTTCAAGATTAGTAGGTCTATATATTACTCCTGTGATTAATTTTTCTCTACCATCGATTAATTCTTTCCAAATTTTTTTCTGTATTCAGTTCAGTTTTTATTTCCTTATTTATTTCACACTTCAGATTATCCGACATAGATTGCTACTCAGCCTCCTTTCCTAATCTGCCTATCGGTAAGGAATAATTTGTAACCTGCAATTTGGTATTCAATAGTTCACTCACGTGAGTAAGTTTATCCATGTTTCGGTGAATGCTATTATATCGATTTTTTTCGGTACATACCAACGCCCTGATTTCATCCATTTTGTTTCCCTTACTTCTACTGTTTACGTAGTAGACATTTTAGCAGGTCGTGATCTCAGTCTCCTCTTTGTCACGTTTAGGTTTTAACTCCTTGTCTAATTTAAATTTGTCATCATCCCTAGCACTATTTCTCTGTAGTCTTTCACCTTGTTTACCCGCTCCCACTGCAGTCTCCTCGATTCCCGCGCTTCCCCTAGCTGGACAAACCCCTCTCAGTTAAAGTGCAAAGTAGAAAAAACTCCGTTAAAGTGCAAAATGGGTTGGGTACGGTATTGCAGTCTTATGATATAATAAAAGTAAAATTTTACATGTCATAGAAGTGTTCATAAACTGTAAATAATAAAGAATAAAAAGAATAATCTATTTTATTTTGTATTTGTCCTGGGGGGCTTTTGTCCTACACCCCTGCCTAGCCACACCCTCTACACATACTCAACCACACCTGCGCCTACCCAGTCACACCCTATACCCCTGCCCAGCCACACCCTCTACCCCTACCCAGCCACACCCTGTACACCTACTCGACCACACCCTGTACACCTACTCGACCACACCTGCGCCTGATTAGCCACACCCTCTACCCCTGCCCAACCACACCCTCTACCCCTGCCCAACCACACCCTCTACCCCTGCCCAACCACACCCTCTACACCACTGGTTCCCAAACTGGGGGCCATGGCCCCCCAGCAAAATTTAGGGGGCCATAAGCTGAGGCTATGTACACATAAAAATCCCAAGCCCCACCACACTAGAACAGCCAGTCAGCAGCTGAGCCAGCCAGAGATATGGATTGGGAGAGGGGGGCCATGGATAAGGATCATATATGAAAAGTGGGTAATGATCAGAAAAAGTTTGGGAACCACTGCTCTACACCTACTCAACCACACCCTCTACCCCTGCCCAGCCACACCCTCTACCCCCAGCCCAACCACACCCTGTACACCTATTCGACCACACCTTCTGGCCCTGTCCGCGCAAAGCCTTCTGGCTCTAGAAACTCGAGCCAGTGTGGAGCAGCGTCGTCACGGTAGTAACAACGCCAGCAGAGGAGAGTATCTGTTGCCTCACTCCTTACCACTTTCGCCGTTTCTTTTACCAGCCGGACGACCCGTATGGTGCGACAGGGGCTGGACGACAACAGCAGACGGGTGAACTACAACAAGAGACGGGTGAACTACAACAGGAGACGGGTGAACTACAACAGGAGACGGGTGAACTACAACAGAACACGGATGAACTACAACAGAAGACGGATGAACTACAACAGGAGACGGATGAACTACAACAGGAGACGGGTGAACTACAACAGGAGACGGGTGAACTACAACAGAAGACGGGTGAACTACAACAGGAGACGGGTGAACTACAACAGGAGACGGGTGAACTACAACAGAAGACGGGTGAACTACAACAAGAGACGGGTGAACTACAACAGGAGACGGGTGAATTACAACAGAAGACGGGTGAACTACAACAGGAGACGGGTGAACTACAACAAGAGACGGGTGAATTACAACAGGAGACGGGTGAATTACAACAGAAGACGGATGAACTACAACAGGAGACGGGTGAACTACAACAGAAGACGGACTAACTACAACAGAACACGGATGAGCTACAACAGAACACGGATGAACTACAACAGAACACGGATAAACTACAACAGAACACGGATAAATTACAACAGAACACGGATAAACTACAACAGAACACGGATGAACTACAACAGAACACGGATGAACTACAACAAGAGACGGATGAACTACAACAAGAGACGGAAGAACTACAACAGGAGACGGATGAACTACAACAGGAGACGGATGAACTACAACAGGAGACGGATGACCACAACAGGAGACGGATGACCTACAACAGGAGACGGATGAACTACAACAGGAGACGGATGAACTACAACTGAACTACAACAGGAGACGGATGAACTACAACAGGAGACGGATGAACTACAACAGGAGACGGATGAACTACAACAGGAGACGGATGAACTACAACAGGAGACGGATGAACTACAACAGGAGACGGATGAACTACAACAGGAGACGGATGAACTACAACAGAACACGGATGAGCTACAACAGAACACGGATGAACTACAACAGAACATGGATAAACTACAACAGAACACGGATGAGCTACAACAGGAGACGGATGAGCTACAACAGAAGACGGATGAACTACAACAAGAGACGGATGAACTACAACAGAAGACGGATGAACTACAACAAGAGACGGATGAACTACAACAGGAGACGGATGAACTACAACAGGAGACGGATGAACTACAACAGGAGACGGATGAACTACAACAGGAGACGGATGAACTACAACAGGAGACGGATGAACTACAACAGGAGACGGATGAACTACAACAGGAGACGGATGAACTACAACAGGAGACGGATGAACTACAACAGGAGACGGATGAACTACAACAGGAGACGGATGAACTACAACATGGATGAACAGGAGACGGATGAACTACAACAGAGACGGATGAACTACAACAGAGACGGATGAACAACAGGAGACGGATGAACTACAACAGGAGACGGATGAACTACAACAGGAGACGGATGAACTACAACAGGAGACGGATGAACTACAACAGAACACGGATGAACTACAACAGGAGACGGATGAACTACAACAGGAGACGGATGAACTACAACAGGAGACGGATGAACTACAACAGGAGACGGATGAACTACAACAGAAGACGGATGAACTACAACAGGAGACGGATGAACTACAACAGGAGACGGATGAACTAAAAGACACAGGAGAACAACAACAGAGACACATGTCCCCCACACACACACAGGGTTACTACATAACACAATAGAGTCAAGGTATACATTAAGCCTCTAACAGACTTGAACCAACATTACCGTCTGGGAAAATTTTTTTATACTCCCTGTCTTTTACCTAGCCATTACCTAACGTCTTTATCTTTCTTTTTCACCTAACCATTTTCTCTCATTTCTTATTTTTCTTCTTTCTCTTTTATATCGTCAGGTACACAGTTGTGTCCCTCTAGCTCGGATCCTTCTTTGGTAAGACTGGAGAAAATAAGACTTTTTTGTTTTAGGTAAACAGGTCTTGGCCACGATCATAGATGAAGCCATTAACAAGTAAGGGGGCCGTTCACAGGTAGGGGGCCGTTCACAGGTAGGGGAACCGTTCACAGGTAGGGGAACCGTTCACAGGTAGGGGCAGACCGTTCACAGGTAGAGACCAGGTCGTTCACAGGTAGGGGAACCGTTAGGGGAACCGTTCACAGGTAGGGGCAGACCGTTCACAGGTAGGGCAGACCGTTCACAGGTAGGGGAGCCGTTCACAGGTAGGGGAGCTGTTCACAGGTAGTGGCAGACCGTTCACGGGTAGGGGCGAACCGTTCACAGGTTCACGACCACTTATCTGTAAGCGGCCCCTTCCTAAAACGGCCCCCTTACCTGTAAACGATCCCTTACCTGTAAACGGCAACTTACCTCTGAACGGCCCCCTGACCGTAAACGGTCCCCTACCTTTTAATGGCCTCTACCTGTGACGGTCCGCCCCCACCTGTGAACGGTCCTCCCCAACCTGGGGCGGACCGTTCACAGGTAGAGGCCATTAAAAGGTAGGGGAGCCGTTTACGGACAGGGGGCCGTTCAGAGGTAAGTTGCCGTTTACAGGTAAGGGATCGTTTACAGTTAAGGACCGTTTACAGGTTGGGGCCGTTCACAGGTAAAGGATCGTTTACAGGTAAGGAGCCGTTTTAGGAAGGGGCCGTTTACAGGTAAGGGGCCGTTTACAGGTAATGGGCCGTTTACATGTAGAGGGCCGTTTACGGGTAAGTTGCCCTCTACAGGTAGGGGCCGTTTATAGGTAGGGAGCCGTTTACAGGTAGAGGGCCGTTTACAGGTAGAGGGCCGTTTATAAGTAGAGGGCCGTTTACAGGCAGGGGGGCCGTTTACAGGTAGGAGGTTTACAGGTAGGAGGCCGTTTACAGGTAGGGGGCCGTGTACAGGTACGGGGCCGTGTACAGGTACGGGGCCGTGTACAGGTATGGGGCCGTGTACAGGTAGGCGCCATTAACAGGTAAGTTGCCGTTTACATGCAGGAGGCCCGTTTACAGGTTGGGGGCTCGTTTACAAGTTGGGGGCCCTTTTACAGGTAAGGGGCCCTTTTACAGGTAGGGGGCCCGTTTACAGGTAGGGGGCCCGTTGACAGGTAGGGGCCCGTTTACAGGTAGGGGCCCGTTTACAGGTAGGGGCCCGTTACAGGATGGGGACGTTTACAGGTTGGGGGGACGTTTACAGGTTGGGGGACGTTTACAGGTTGGGGAGGACGTTTACAGGTTGGGGGCCGTTCACAGGAATGACGGTGCAGGAAGCAGAATAAACAGGCCCCGGGAGGTGGTCTTCACTCTCCCTTCGCCTTAATGACAAGGAGCCGGGAGGAGCAGGAGGATGTACAGCCCTTCGTCCACCCGGACCATGTAAACATCTCCTGTGAGATATACCAACACACACACACACACACACACACACACACACACACACGAAAAAAACACCGCCTCCTCCTACCCTTAATGGATACAACAGTGTCCCCGTTAGTGGGTAAAACAATGGACGAATCCCACTTGTATCTGCGAGGGCTCCAGTGTCCAGAGTTAAAGAATGATCTGCCTAACAGCCAGCATAACACTTGACGATAGAAACCGTAACTAAAGCCATGTCTTGTCCAGGCGAAGAACATTTATGAACTTATGAACAGCGAGTCTATAACATGACAAAATTTAATATTACAGTATTATTAACTATGGCATTGCTAGTAACGACACTCGTATAATTTATAACAGCTGTAAAAAGAGATTTTGAGAGACGAGAGGCATAACCATTTGAAGACAATTATGAGGCTATAAAACTTTGTGAGGACGATGATTTAAGCTTGAACACTTTAAAGACGACGATTTAAGCTAAAATCCTTTAAGAACAAGGATTTAAACATCAATATTTATAGGCTTCTCCCTCCTGTGGTAACACCGTAGCAGAGTCTCTGATTATGTGTCAGGTCACACCACAACAATGATCAGCACAGGAATGTGTAAAATAAGGCATGATGCAAGTAACACGTACAGTACTACGCGCGCAAGAAACTCGGCTAACACACAACCACTCTCCTACACCACACTTTACTTACTTTACTTTTAACTTATTCTCTTCATCTTACATTACATTTACTGTATTTTCTTCTACTTTCTTTACTTTTACTTTATCTTACCTTAATTTAATTTCTATATTTCCTCAACACATCTAACTTTGTGTACGTGTTTAAGGGTCAAGTCAGGGATTTAAGAACGAACGAACGAACGCGCGCGCGCGCACGCACTGCCCCTTAAGGCCAGGTTTCTCAAAAAACTAAACCTCAGAGCTTATAGTGAACTAACCGCACTGACCCAACTCCATATTAACTTAAGAACCGGTGTAATACCAGAATCCTGGAGGATAGCGAATGTCATACCGATTTTCAAGAAGGGAGATAGATCACCATACTCTTAGTTTAACATCAATTGTAGGCAAATAACTGGAAGTAATAATTTCAAACTTAATTCGAAATCACCTCAAGAATCACAATTTGATCAATGATTCCCAGAGAGGCCTTACAACCTGGCGTTCATGTCTGACAAATCTATTATGAATCTTTTCAACTGTTTTCGAATCGATGGATGACGGAAACGATCATGATGCGATTTACCTCAATTTTAGCAAAACCTTCGACAGGGTCCCCACGAAAGACTATACATAAAGTAGAGATGTTCTAAACTGAATTAAGGCGTGGTTACAGGACAGGAAACAGTCAGCATTAATGGCACTAAATCGGATTGGGGTAACGTCACTGGTGGAGTACCCCAAGGCTCAGTACTTGGACCATTACTATTTATTACATACGTACATAAACGACATACAGTAGACATATGCGTAGACAGCAACATAAGTAGATTTGCTGACGACACAAAAAAGGTCGTGTAATAATCTGACGAGAACTCCAAAAAACTACAGGAAGATCTAAAAAAAAAATCGCATGGTCTGAAAAATGGCATGTGAATTTAATGCGGACAAATGTAGAGTACTTAGCCTAGGAGATGTAATCAGAGAAGCCAGATATCAGTTGAACAACGTTCATATAGACTCTGTTTATAGAGAAATCCGATTGTGAGAAAGATTTAGGGGTAATGATAAGTAGGAAACTTAAACCAAGATAACAATGTTCCTCTATCAAGGAATAAACAATTGAAATTGAATTGATAACAATGCGCATTTGCTCGAAACAAGGCTAACAAAGTACCTGAGTTCATACAAAGGAGTGTTAGTTACAAGACTAGCTAAGTTATCCTGAAACTACGGGGTATATCTTGCCCCTGTGAGACCTCACTTACAGTAGATTAAGCAGTTCAGTTTTTGGTCACCGTACCACAGAATGGATATCGAATCCATAGAAATCATACAGAGGAGGATGGCAAGACTAATCCCGGGTATTAGGAACCTTGAGTACAGAGACAGATTAAAGCATTTGAAATTGCACTCCCTCGAGAGACGTACAGTGAGGGGCGATATGATTGAGGTGTATAAATGGAAGTCGGGGTTAAACAAAGGTGATATAACAAAGGAACTTAAATTATCCAACTAGAAACGAAATCGTAGCAATGGTTCTAAATTAGACAAATTTAGATTTCGGCGCGAGATAGGTAAACACTGGTTTGGAAATCGAGTAGTGGATGAGTGGAACAAGTTACCAAACATCATCAACTCGAACACGCTGGGTAGCTTCAAATATATTAATATTGATATCGAAACAGTTTATTTAGCCAGGAGAACATAGATACAGTCAAAAAAATAATAATATTAACATGGATCAGCCAATGAGAGCCTTGGCTCTCTTGTAGGCACCTGATATATACTGTACATTTACCTCAAGGAAGAATTATGTAACATTTAGTATCATCTGGAATCGTATACAGTATGGTAGTAATAAGAACATGTCAGAATGTTACCACTGTTATCACTTCAATATTTGTTTTTACATTATAAGTATATACAGAAAACACTGGCGTTGATAAACATAAATATGATGAGGGAGGGAAGCAGTACAACATTGGTTTATTAAGGTGGAACAAGAGGACAGAGCTGTCAGTATTATGTCAAGTTTGTAAATATATTTATTGCAATAGTAATTTCTATCCATTTACATGATAATTTCTGATAAAACGGTTTTGGTGGTACAGTAAAAGCAGGAATATATCGTAGGTATTACAAAAACTATTAATACTTAGACAATAGATATTTTTTTAAGAGGTGATTTAAAGGAAGGGAGCGTAGTCTTTGCTCGGATGGGTGAGGGTAAAATGTTCCACACTTTCACACCATGATATTTTAGGAGGTCTGGGACTGAGAGGAGCGCATGGGGTGGTCTTAGTAGGTATGGGTGTTTTAAGATGTATCTTTGATAATTCCGGAACTGGAAATAATTGTTGTCAAGCAAGTGATTGACAGATTTGTAAACAAATAGGGCACAGCAGTTGGTGTTAATACCATCGAAATTTTTTATTTTTTATTTCGCAAATTGTTCGTCAGTGTGATCAGTTTTTTTCAAGTAGGTCATTGTCCGCACAACTCTATTTTGTGCAGTAAACAGGGGTTGTGTTTTTGAAGAGCCAGAGGCCCCCCAGAGTGTGTGACAGTGTATCAGGTGTTGGTAAACAAGATCATAATAGATTTCTTTCATTGCTGTAAAAGTGAGTGACTGTCGAGTGTGATAAATGATACCGCACTGTTTATTGACTTTACTGTGAATGGCTTG